AATGATGTTTGTTTGCTTGTGAACAGTTGCTTGAAAGGCAAAGACGGAAGGGATTTCTGCATCGCATTGTGACTGGGGACGAAAAATGGGGTTCATTACGATAATCCCAAGCGCAGAAAATCACGGAGAGTTCCCGGCCATGCTTCTACGTCGACGGCCAAACCGAATATTCACGGCTCCATGCTCTGTATTTGGTGGGACCAGCTCGGCGTAGTGTATTATGAAGTTAAAACCGACTGAAACAATCACAGGCGATGGATATCGAACGCAATTGATGCGTTTGAGCCGAGCATTGAAAGACAAATGGTCGCAATACAACGAGAGACACGATGAAGTGATTTTGCAGCATGACAATGCTCGACCCCATGTTGCGAAAGTAGTCAAGACATACTTGGAAACGTTGAAATGGGAAGTCCTACCCTACCCGCCGTATTCTCCAGACGTTGTTCCCTCTGACTATCACTTGTTTCGATCAATGGCACACGGCCTGGCTGACCAGCACTTCCGGTCTTATGAAGAAGTAAAAAATTGGATCGATTCGTGGATAGTCTCAAAAGATGATCAGTTTTTTCGACGCGGGATTCGTACGCTACTCGAAAGATGAGAGAAAGTAGTAGGCAGCGATGAACAATGCTTTGAATCATAAATGTATAACCAGTTTTTTACAATAAAGCCTCGAATTTCGGAAAAAAAACGGCGAAAGCAAAGTTGTACATCTAATATTTATATCCATTAAAAGTTGTAGACTTTTCTCTTTTCGCAATTTTTGTTTTTTTTTTTCCAATAATTGAATACATTTGACACAGCTGATTAGTTTCCAAGATTCAAAACAAATAATTAAAAGTCAATAAGAAAAAAATTGAAGTAGGAACGTGTACTGCAATAATCATCAATAATTTTTAAATAGAGTGTTATCTTAAAATATCACCTGTTCGGATCTGAAGTAATAATTGCTCTTTGAGAAAGACTAGCGAGTATCTACTCTCGCACGAACAAACACACGGACTGATGGACAAAAATTGTTTCCAACTCGATATTATTGGCGGACCATTTTCCCTGAGACTTTGTAAATGAAACCAGTTCTGTGTATAATAATAATGATTATTCCGTGTAGTCGCGCGTGTATTACTTATTCGTGTAATTGCGGAGCGAAAAATTCTGTGAAGGCGACACTTTACTATATCCACTAGATAGCATAATAAATTTTTTTTCTTTTATATATCGAGAATTCATTGATGAATCCCAAAACTCGCGACATATTATTCATAATAAACACTGAAGACGCTACACTGAGCATGAAAAGTACGACCTTCGAAGGAAAAAGCGGAGTATTTGTCTCTCTCGCTGTCCCACAGGAAGCCGAGTGTGGTTTCTACGGATTGACTGGCCTTTTCGATTATTGTAACCATGACAATAATTTTATGCCTGGAAGAGAAGGACTTTTTGTGATCATCCGAGCAATACAGTTATATTCAAAATATATTTAATAAACATTAAAAACTACGTCATCAACTGAAAAATAAAATTTAAAATTTTATTTTTTTTTTAAACTATTTAATAATGTAAAAAGTTTATGAGATGTTTGTAACGTTTATTAAACTTTTTTTTACTAGTTTAAATTACCATTTTTATGCGAGACATTTTTATAATTATATATTTAATAACGTTTATTTAAACGTTTTTATTTAAACATTTTTTAAATGTAAATTGTCTAAATGGAAATTTATCATATCGCGAATTTGTGTTAGGCACTTTATTATAAATCTTTAAATAATTCGTTTTTCATCAATATTTTGTTCGTGTAAAACTTGTAACTACACTGAAAAAAAATGTAGTCAATTTTAATAAATATTTAATTGAATACTGTCAACTAAACATTTACTTACAATAAGTAAATATTTGTTCAGTAAAAAAAAGATTGTTAAATTAAATTAACATTTCTTGTATTAAATAAATATATCTTTATATTTAATAAACTAAATATGTTTTTTTCTCAGTGTATAAAACATATAGTAATTTTTTTAAATTTATTTGAAAATCAGTACTGACGCACTATTTCTTAAATTACCACACAGTTCCTGGAACTTTAGTCGAGAAACTAGCAGTTTCTCGACATTTATAAATATATTTTAATTATTTCGTTGAATAACGATTATGTTAATTTTAAATCAATTTATATTGATTATGTATCTTTTTTGAATCTTCTTCAAATTAATTCTTCTTAATAATTTTCGTAGAAACTCGTTATACACATATACTTATAAATCAAAGGTTTGTGGAATCTCCCTTTCCCTAGGAATATCATCTTTAAACCATCCAAGATGCAAATTTATTTCACACCTGTCGAAGTTAAGCTTCTTCACGCGTCGCCGTATCTCCGCGGCAATGTCGCCGCATAATTTTATGGCTTCCGCATTGTCGTATGCGATCTCGTCCAAACGATTGTTCATCACTGATTTCACGATCTTTTCTACCAGATCGATCTTGAATGGATTCTGCGGCTGCATGCGATAACTGTTTTGATATTTCTGCGTCTGCGACAAAGAAATTGCTTCTGCAGTCCAAAACTGTTTTAAAATCGACAAATATGTATAATAATTGGCTCGCAGTAATTTGCTTCAATTGAAAACTGTAAAAATTTTAATTTTCACACAAAAATATTATTAGGTACTAAGATCCGTTTTGATCGATCGCCTTGATTCATTTGTGTTGAATATTTTTTTATCCATTTTTTAATATTAAAAAAGTTAAACAACGAGCGATTGACAAAATTAAAATTAATTTATTAAAATATTAAGAAAAGATTAATATTAGTTTTTTTATTAATATATAATGTTAAAAGTTTAATGTTTTTGGTAGTAAAATAGATATTTTAATT